TCCATTTGTGGGCGGGCGGGCTTGGCATGCGTTTGGGACGTGAAGTTGTGGCTCGACAGGGCTCTTATAAGGGCACCTTCCTCGGGGAAACCGCTATGCAGCGCCTGCCCAGGGTCGCGGAATTCTATCCTGCCAGGGTATTGATCCTAGTCGCCTTGAGAGATTTATCGTGCCAACTGCCTTTGAGAAGAGTTCTTCTCTCTACTGGTCTCTGCCTTTTTACTGGCTCCACTATTAGAGCTCCACTACCCACTAATTTTCATCGCGGGAGGTAGCTTAAAGGAAGTACTTTTCAGGTGTGACCAGTGTGCCGTCGGAACCTACGGCTTTGGAAGGTCGGGTTGCACGGAATGTGCCTGTGACTCCGTTGGATCTCTCCACAATCGCTGCGACCAACAAAGCGGGCAGTGTGTATGTCGCGAAAAAGGCATTTACGGACGACAGTGTAATCAGTGTCAGCCAGGATTCTGGAGCTTCCCGGATTGCAGGGTGGGTTCTTTTATTCAGGTTTGAAATATGTGTTGAATTCTGTTAAATAGAGAAAGCCAAAAGCTGAATGACGAGAAAGGCTTACTAGTACCTATATATTGGTTCCAGGTATGTCAATGCAACGATCATGCAAATATATGTGATCAACAAACCGGAGCTTGTATAGAATGTCGTGATCTTACAGCTGGTCACTATTGCGATCGCTGCCAGGATGGATACTACGGAGATCCCCGGTAGAAGGCAATTTCCATAAATTTCGAGATACCCCAAAAATTTCCCTCATTTCAGACTTGGTGTGGGTCTTCCCTGCAAGCCATGTCCTTGTCCTGGCGGTCCAACTAGCGGTTTCCAGCACGCGGACACCTGCTATCTACAACGAGCAAATAATACCCAAGACGTGGTTTGTAATTGCCGGTATGTGAACAGTTTTTATCCCAGTACTTGATATATATCGATACTTGGCCTATTTATATCTTATTTCTAGAAGGTGTACTATTCAAATCAAAGGTTAGCTTTATTGATAAAACTCTTGTTTAAGGTCTGGCTATACGGGAGAGCGTTGCGCTGAATGTGCAATGAACTATTGGGGAAATCCTACAGAAGTGGGCGGTTCATGTGAAAGATGTGATTGTAATGGCAACATTGACATGACGGTAAGAGAGCGTTTTATGTAGCATTAGCCTAGGTGCTATACCATCCCGAAACCTATTTGCAGGTAGAAGGTAGCTGCGATCCGGCAACTGGTGAATGTCTGAAATGTCTTCACAACACGGAAGGCGTGATGTGCGAGAATTGTGTGGATGGATTTTACGGTGATGCCAAACTGAAAAGTTGTCAAAGGTGGGTTTTCGTCTATTGGATATTATCCCGAAGAGGATATTTTATATCGTTCACTAACTAGATTCTCACTTTATGAATCTTAGAGACGCGTCAGACTCGGCGATGCGGATCGGTCGATTGGATCGCGCGATTGGATCGCGCGATCGGATCGCGCTACTGAGGGTGAAATTACTGCGGGAGGGGGTTATGTGCGTATATGTTTATTGATCCTGCTCTCTCTCTTTTCCTTCTTTCTTCCTTTGTGTACATAACGCCCTCCTAATTTTAAAGAACGTTTCGAAATATCTTTAAGTTATTTATTATTTCCTATGGTAAAATAGTACTAAATATACAATATGCTAATTATTATACTGAATTTTGCATCTGAGTACGTTCAAGCGGAGTATTGAACATCTTGTTCCAAAAGTAAGACACGCAGAACTTTCAACAGCGGGTGATGTTGTTTCTCTCCCTTCCCCCGATTTTGCCAGTCCTCCAGATATTCACTTTACTTTTGTCACATTGTGTTTTTGTTGTTTGTTCTGCCATCCTCGCAGTCTCATACACCAACCTTTTCCCTTTTCGAACGGTTCCTGCAAACGTCAAGTAATTGCGAATATGAACACGAATAGAAACATAAGGTCGAACTTACTTTTATATCGTTTTTGGAACTGCCTATTGGAGGCAGGATACAGCATTGTGATGTGAGAAATGGTGATATTAGTACGCTCCCTTCCCAGAATTTTGTTGTTGTTGTTGTTGTTTGTTTGTTTGAGTTTGAGTTGAACATGAACGAACATGACCCCCTCCCGCAGTAATTTCACCCTCAGTAGCGCGATCCAAGCGATCCGATCGCGCGATCGCGAAGTCTGAACGCGCTCTTAACCTGCGGCTTTCTCGTGATATTACTGGCTGGCCTTAATACTCTGTGTCGGCGTGACGCACGCCCAAGCGACTATGAAAGTATGAGTATCGATCTAGCGTCTGCCAGCGTGAACCAGCGACTAGGAAAATATGGATATCGATCTAACGAGCGCCAGCGACTCACCTGGACCAAGTGTTTGCTTGCAGCAGAGTTTTCGCAGGCAGTTTTGCTCAAGCTCATGCTCCCGAAAACGCTTGCTTTCGCTGGACCTTATCTATACTTTCCTAGTCGCTGGAGTACGCTTGAAACGTCTGTTGTACGCCGACCGCAAATTATGAACCAGCCTTGTGTTTTTATGGTGGTTTTGTTCCCTGTTATTGGTTCCAAGCTGGGCCTTTACTCACCTACGAAGTCTTCTCTTGTCAGGTGTGTATGTAACAATCTCGGTACCAACTCCACTACTGGTTCATGTGATCGAGTGACCGGGCAGTGCCCTTGTTATCCGAATGTTATTGGAATGCAATGTGACCAGTGCGCAGAAAATCACTACGATCTCAGCAGTGGCCAGGTGAGCATCCAGTGCTTTTAGTGATGTGTCCTGTAGTTATTGTGGGTCTTAGGTGATTAGCCGCAGTCCCAATGTTATTGTACTTTGGAGCTTTCATCAACCCTCCAATTCGAACGTACCCTCTTTGATTTAATATAACACCCCATTTTCACTTTAAATTCGCCCTTTTTCAAACCAAATTCGTCCTTTTTCAAACCAAATTCGTCCTTTTTCAAACCAAATTCGTCCTTTTTCAAACCAAATTCGTCCTTTTTCAAACCAAATTCACCCTCACTCTTCATCAAGAACCACACTTATTAGGGCGGGCAACTCATCAACCAGATCACGCCAGACATCACTGCGAGCCCCGCCCCGACGGCCACGCCCACTTGTCAGCGCGGACATAGATTCTCAAATCTTGTTTCATAACTTCTGCTTTTGCTGTTTCCCACAAACCCTTTGACTGGAAACCACCGTGCATTCACACATGGCCGACTCCGCCCATTCTCTAAAGGGTTTGGCACTCTAGGCTGACCACGCCCACTGGCTTTTCGCGGAATTTCGATGTTTTTTCAAAATTTTTGCAATTTAGGGTTGCTGCGTGAAGCCCCGCCCTTTGTGAGATGCTCCGCCCACTTTGAATAAGCCCCGCCCACTTTTCAAAAATGGTGCAGATCGGTAGTATAGAGATTTGGCTTGTCAGTGTTAGCGGTCTCTGTACGTCACTCGAAACAAGAACGAATGCCGGGCAAAGTTTAATTCCAAATGATCAGCAATACACTAACATGCAAGCCAAGTCTCTATACTGCCGATCTGCACCATTTTTGAAAAGTGGGCGGGGCTTATTCAAAGTGGGCGGAGCATCTCACAATTAGGCGGGGCGTTTAACGCAGCCAACCCTAAAATGCAAAAATTTTGAAAAAAACATCGAAATTCCGCGAAAAGCCAGTGGGCGTGGTCAGCCTAGAGTGCCAAACCCTTTAGAGAATGGGCGGAGTCGGCCATGTGTGAATGCACGGTGGTTTCCAGTCAAAGGGTTTGTGGGAAACAGCAAAAGCAGAAGTTATGAAACAAGATTTGAGAATCTATGTCCGCGCTGACAAGTGGGCGTGGCCGTCGGGGCGGGGCTCGCAGTGATGTCTGGCGTGATCTGGTTGATGAGTTGCCCGCCCTAATAAGTGTGGTTCTTGATGAAGAGTGAGGGTGAATTTGGTTTGAAAAAGGACGAATTTGGTTTGAAAAAGGACGAATTTGGTTTGAAAAAGGACGAATTTGGTTTGAAAAAGGACGAATTTGATTTGGAAAATAGGCGAATTTTAAAGTGAATAATGGTATAATGTGCTGCTCCCATAGGCTTCATAGAAAGGATTCCGTCCAGAATACGCTCCGTCCTTCTTTAAATCTGCTCGCGTCTATTATCCAGGATGCGCTCAGCTGAAGTTGTCCGTTTTCCTTCTTTTAGAAAGTCGCGTATCCTAAACAATTGCTTGTCTCATATTTCCGTTTTTTTCAGCTGCATGTTTCTGGAGGCGGTCGTTGCTGCCAAAGTTTGGTGACGGGTTCGAGAAACGTTTAAGCCCCCGCACCCTATTCGTCCCTTCCATCAACCGCAGCGGTTGTACCAACTGCCCTTGAGGGGCTTGCTAGTTTTGTAGTCGCTATCACTAATAAAATAATGGTTTTCTTTTAGGGATGTGCTACATGTAATTGCGACCCCAACGGTGTTGCACTCGATGCGCATGGAATCTCCTGAGCTGCAGTGTAATCAGTTTGATGGGCGATGTCGTTGCAAAGTGGGACGAGGAGGTATGTGATCCACTTTGTTCGTTCATTGTCAGATGTTTTGTTGGTACAGCCATCATCAATCGTAAGCCCTCTGAACGCAGCATCAGTTCAAACTCTTGCTCTTTCTTGTGATACTTTGCTGCTGTCGGATATTGCAAAGTAATTAATGGTGGTTGTTCAACAGAGATTTATTAACACATCAAGTGGTTTAAGGCGAGTTATTAACTGCGCTGTACGGGCTGTAAAGTAGTAATGCATGCTCATATTTTTGGAGCCCATTTCCTCTAAGTTTTATAAACGATTCGGTAATTAGGCGTGATCTTCGTTGTCCTCAACTGTAAGTAAATGTAAGCTCTGTTTACAGGTCGTACATGCTCCGAATGTGAAGATTACTTTTGGGGTGATCCAACAACATCGGAGGGTTGTAAAAGATGTGAGTGCAACCCGACGGGATCTGCTAGCCAACAGTGTCACCGCAACAATGGTACCTGTGTTTGCCTACCTGGATCTGGAGGTAAGTAAAGGTTTTGAGGTTATAAATAGTTATAGTTTATTCAAAAAAGTATACATTTACTACATTTTAGGCGATCTCTGCGAACGAATGTGCACGTGGATATACTGGAACATGGCCTTTCTGCCAGCCATGTGGCGAATGCTTCCATCAGTGGGATTCTATCATACAAGGTCTGAAGGCGCAAGTCGATAAGCTTATTGACACCGCCGCGAATATCGAGGACACCGGCGTTGCATCTGCCTATGACGAGGAATTTGAAAGTATGGAGGCAAAGTTGGAGGAGACAAAGAAGAAGCTCTCAGACGCCAATATCAGCAAGGAGCATATAGAACAGCTAGAGAATGAGGTTGCTAAGCTCAAGAAAGAGGTGGGTGAAAGAGGTTGATCAACGAGTGTGATTCGTTCTTTGTGAATGCGTATTACCTTCTATAGGTTGGCGCCGCTCGTGAGAAGTTGGATGGCATCGAGGCACGCGTTTCTAACGCCACTCAAGCTGTAGACTTTGCTGAAGAAGATCTCAAGCAACTACAGGCAGATGCAGTTCGTCTTACAGAAGCCGCAGACGATTTGCGTGACAGGACTAATAAGATCAAAGAGGCTGATGTACAGGTGGGTTACGGACGCCAAAATTAGATTTGCAAGATCGGATAATTGTGAATGCTCTACTTGTAGGGCGCGTATAACATAACTAGAGAGTCGGCAGCTCGATCATTGGCTGCTCAACGGCGAACTGACGCAGCTATCGGCAAACTTGCCGAGGCAGAAAGTGAAGCACGTGATGCGGAAGCTTTGCTGGAGAAGAACCGCGATGACTTTGATAAGCAGTATGCAGAGAACGAAGCCGCCTTGGCCGAGAGTGAGCAGAAAGTAAGTTAGGACTACTCATAGTTCGTTTCTAGGCTGCGTCCATACTTTGAGATCACCATCATGCGGTAGCGTCTCGAGCGAACGCCAGCGCCAGCGAAAAGGAAAGTGTAGATATCGATCCTGCGTTTGCCAACGTCTACCAGCATCCAGGAGTGGAGAGTATGGGGAAATAGGAGGGTAACTGACAGCTGTATCAGGGGTCGTGAAGGTGCGACGTGTGTAGCACCGAACAACTGTTAAAGCACTTAATTACGCAATCTTGATATACGGTGCGGTGCAGTTGTACGGTGCGGTTGCGCATGCTTCAATTTCACGACTCGTGATCCAGTCTGCTACCCTCTTACTTCCTTATATTCTCCACTCCTGGACGCTACTGTGCGCCGGTGGAAGCTGCTGCAAAGTATGAACGCAGCCATACATGGAATTTCAATAAGTGTGATCTGCCGTGATTCCTTCGAAGGACGCATTAGGTCTATAACCTTTTTTTAGTTACACATGTTGGAAGCTGCATTACCAACGTTGAAATGCAGAAGTCTGTGGAGCTGCATCTGCTCCCTGTGATGCTCTTTGTGGCGGTAGGTTTTTCTTTCTTGTTGTCACGGCGCTCAACTGTGCTCTTGTTCTGTATATCATTTCTACTTTTGAGTAGTTGCTTGGTAAAGGGAACCGTTGTAGAGTAGTTTTAAATCACAGGTCCCGGGTCATGTGGTTTTTGTGGTGGTCAATCGTGTTTGGAGGGAGCAGTTAGTAAAGCAGATCAAGCAAGGAGTTTCTCTCTTGAAGCTGATCTGAAACTCAACGAAAAGCAAAAAGAGGCAGAAGAGGTGATTGCATCAGATTTTTTTCTCCACGTTTAGTTGGTAATTGTCTGAAAATTCAGGTGTTAACTCTTGTTAGAGACGTGCTCCATTCGACAGCAGCCGCTAAGAAGGACGCCTTAGCCGCATTAGAAGTCGCACGAAATGCCGCTCAGAAAACGAATTCGTCACGTGCTGAATTAGATCAAATTGTTGATCAAATGAATACCTTCTTGAAAAGCTCAAGGTAAGTGCTGCCTGCCGAGTCCAGCTATTTAGAAATTGGGACAGTTTATAAATTTTTCAGGAGTTCACCTGAGCAGATTAGAGCTTTAGCAGAAGAAGTGCTCGCGAAGAAAATCAGTCTCACTCCTGAGCAGATAGCTGATTTAACTGCAAAGGTTTCTTAGCAATTTCTTTCATACTTTTTTCAGTAAGTATGCAATTATTTGAAGATTCGCGACTCTCTCACGAAAATCAATAATATTGGAGCAATACTTGCCGAGACACGGGGAAATAAGACGTTAGCAGCTAATCTTGAAGCTAAAGTAGGTTATTTAATGCATGCTTACCGAAGAGAATACGTCACTTATTTAATGTATATTGTTCCCGCAGGCGCTGGAAGCAAGTGCACAAGCTGCCGCCATCAAAAATACCACTGATACTGTCAGAGAGGCGATTCAAGTCGCTGAGGAAGCACAGCTTGCTGCGACTGAAGCTATCCGATCCGCTGAGGAAGTGATGAAGATGGCCAGGTATTGAGCTGATGCGGTTTTTGGTCCTCTTCGGGACTTTAGTCATAATGACCTGGATTTTAATTCATTTTTCGTGTTTTGAGTTGAATTCGAAGCAATAGTTGTTAAGAGAGCATCTTGATGCTGCCAAAACGGAGGCTGATGCCACCGAATCTCGTGCTAAGGAGGTCAACTCCAGTCTTTCCTCACTTGAAGGTGAAATGAAGAAGGTCAAGGTGCAGTACTTGCAAATAGCCGATGACGCCAAGAATGCCTTCCATTTGGTTGACAAAGCTTTGCAAGCAGGCGAAGACTGCTGAGCAAGGAAATAAGCAAATGACGGTACGTTATGCCCTGACTATCTTTGCTCTGGTTCCATGACTCAGCTGTGCTATTTCCAGACAGATATCGAGGAAGCTAAGCGACTTTTATCGGAAAGGACGCAGGGCAATGAAGCTCCTCAGAAACGAGCCGAAGCTCTGCGACAAAGGGCTTCGAAGCTTCTCTATAAGGCGCAGCGAAGTAGTGATGATATCAGCGGTGAGTAGTTTTCGAATAGTTTTTTTGCCGCGTTCCGTGCCCGGGAAGACCCGCTCCATTGGGGGGGGGGATGGTCCTCCTGTTGTTCCATCGAGGGAGGTGACATTGGAGTTTGCTCCTATTCTCTTGCTCTCCCAATGCGCCAAACCATACTGATACTTAATTCGGCGGGTGTTCTCCCACACCCCGAAATTGAAAAGTACTTGATTGGTCTTACGGTGGACACTATAGAAATAAAGCTGTAGCGCGATTCCACTGGGACAGCAGTGGTTTTCTTGCAGACGAAGAACGGGCAGGTTTGCCAAAACACGTTTCCCGTTGAAAAAAATGGGGAAAAAGAGTTTGCAGTGAGGGAGAACAATCCTGAGTATTATTTGAAAGTTTTCCTTGTTGTAATAGGGATCTACC